CAGGAGGAGAAAGGTATTTAATCCTGGTGATCTTGTTTGGGTTCGCATGAAGAAGGAGCGGTTCCCTGTGGGCACTTACAACAAACTGAGTAAAAGGAAGTTCGGACCCTTCCCCATCACACGCCGTATTAATGATAATGCCTATGTTGTTCAGTTACCCGCCAAGTTCAACACACCAAGCACTTTCAACATTACAGATTTATATCCTTATTATCCACCGGACAACAGCCCTGTTGTGTTGGAAAACACACACAACAGTTCTTTCGTGGAGGGGGCGCATGATGCGGAGCATCCTCACTAACCGGGACCGAAGGCACAGCTTATTTTCAAGGGAACAGTCTCTCGTGCCGTTAGTGGGAAGTTACCCACTATCACCTGGTATTTTCTATTTCTAGCTTTACAGTAATTGAGTATTAGCTCTCAGTTTATTAGCTATCTTAGTATAGACTGCTTGCTTAGTTTGATATATGTGCTACAGTAAAATGGTCTTAGACAATTAAGAAAGTTTAATCCAAGAAGAAGTTCGTCTCTCTATTTTCCTGTGTGTTATTCTCTGTTGCTCCGTCCATTTCCTGTGCAGGTTTCATCTACATCATAGTGTTAAGTGTTTAATATCTTGTATGTAATTGTTAGACCGGCCCAAGGAGGACCGGCCCAGCCTCTTGGGCCGGCTCAGTTCGTTTACGCCAGGAGGAGCCGGCGGAAGCAGGAAGAGGGGATTTAGGTGGGGTCCACTTGAATTTTGAATTGAATCTTGGAGCCAAAAGGAGGGGGAGCAAGGGTAATTAGGTCCTTTTGTATTAGATTTGAATTGTATGCATTAAGTAGGGAGAAAAGGGGGGATTAGGGTTATGTCATATTTTGTAAGAGATTTCTTGTTCTTCTTTGGTGGCTAGGGCTCTAGATCGAATTCTAGAGATTGGCAGAGTGCGATCCTCCTCTTGAATAGAGGATCCTTGTGTCTTTGCTATTTTCCTTGCAACTACTAGTAAAATACAAGTCTTTTCTCCATTTTTCTGCAGTTTTTCCCTGTTTTCCTACTGTTTTTGGCTGTTTTCCTGCTGTGGACAGCAGTTTGCTGTGAGATTTATTGCTAAAGTGATTAGGAAATACTTGAAATCAAGTATTCTTATCAAATTGGTATCAGAGCAAGTCTTGGGACGAATCGTGGGCTGTTTTTGACCAATTTCAGCGGCTGAAATTGTGCCGGCGAAGGGGAAAAATCGCTGAAATTTTTTTTTTCAGATCTTGAGATATTCTCTTAAATTGCAAGCCGTAGGAGATGGCGGCTAAGAAGGTGGATGCTTTGGAGGAGAGGATTGAGGGAGAGATGAATCAAATCAAGGAGACGTAGAAGAAGATAATGTTTCTCCATGGAAGGAAAGTGGCCGGTATCTTACGGGATTGATGAGAAAAGATGTATGGAGTATCAAAACCCGAAATGCAGGCGGCGTCTGATGCAAAGGGACCGCGCGATAGCGACAACTCTGAAATCCATTGGAGAAGGAAGAAGAAGATTGGAACGCTCAGGTGGAAGGGAGTAGGGGTAAGGGCTTGCATCTGTGAGCAATTTCACGAGAGAGGAGAGAGGAGGAAGGTAGTGGAAAGGAAGGTATGGAGGGGGGGGAACCAAGAGGGGTTGGTTGAGCATCGGGGGGGGGGGGGATTTCAGGGGCGCCGGAAGCAGTTTTTTGAAGCTAGGAGAGGAGATTTGAAGAGGGATTGGGGAAGGGCAGAGCAAGGGAAGATGGGATATTGTGGGGGGGTCAGGAATTGGAGAGGGCGAATATATGGGAGATTAGGGGAAGTGGCTGGGATGGAAGGTGAAGAAATTGAAAATGCCAATTTTTGAGGGGAGGAGCTTTTATGGGTTGGATCTACAAGTGGAGAGGTACTTTTGTTGGTTAACGGATTGGCGGAGGAGGAGAAGTATCGGCAGCGGGGTTTGTGTTGGAAGGAAAGGCAATCTTTTGGTGACAGTGGAGAGATAGAGAGACTTATCCGGAGCTGGGGAGAATTCAAAGGACAATTTGTTAGAGCGTTTCCAAACCGATCGGGGGAGAAGAATTCTAACGAGCAGTTCTTTGCCCACGTACAGGAGGGGTCGTGGCAGACTATGAGAGAGGTATGAGCCATCTGGCCAGGAGGGTGGAGCGCTTGTCAAAACGGTGTGGACGGGAATTTTTAGAGCGGTTTAAAGCTAGGTTGCGAGCAGCAGTGAAGGTCCTGATCCCAGGGACTAGGGGGCATGAAGCTTGCACAGTTGGTCGAAAATCAAAAGAAAATGGAAAAAAGAGCGAGGAGTAAGTAAGTCAGCTCAGGAGCACTTTATAGGTGGACAACTACCACCTATCCCAAGGGAGTTCCAAGAGGATGAAAGAAAGTCAAGGAAAAAAACACATGAGGAGGAAATGGGGGCATTTAAGAGGCTCACTGACAGGAAATGCAGAGAATGAACGAAAGGGCTGTGTTTCCGATGTGATGAAAAATACTGCAGGGCAATAAGTGAAAGGATCGAATCTTCCAAGTTCTCATCGTTTGTGAAGACGAGGAAGACGAAGAGGGTGGGGGGAAGCGATTTAGAGGT